ACGACTTTATTACTACTTTACCTTCAGGTGTGTGTGTGTGTGTGTGTGTGTGTGTGTGTGTGTGTGTGTGCGCGTGCGCGTGCGCGTGTGCGTGTGCGTGTGCGTGTGCGTGTGCGTGTGCGTGTGTGTTTAAGCGTGTGCGTGTGTGCGGGTTTGTACGCGCGCGGGTGTATGAAAAGAGACAACTAACACAATTACTAGTTATTGGTCTTATAATGACAAATAATATAATATCAATTGTCTAAATTATGCTGTTGTGTTTCTCGTTTTCCCATTGATTTTATAACGATCGTTTTTCGCTAGAACGTCGAGCAGAACGCTAAAACGCTAGAGCCATCTTTTCGTTAGAAACAATTTGACGATGCGCACTTAGGAAAATAGCCACTATTTTATCCATAATAATAAAGAATAATATAAGGATAATATAATAATATATTATATTACATATATATCATATAAGGAGAACGAAATGCCCCTAAAACGTAATGTATTCGTAAAAATACCTCCGTTTCAAGCAGTGGTATAAACAAAACAAGTAATGATATCCGAGGTTGGGCAAGAGTCAGTGTTTAGTTTTTCTTCTTTTTATAAAACGAAAACATAATACACACATACGATCTGAACAAAACACGAATTGGAAGTTTGGGTGTGTGCGTAGCGTGTCGGATTGCTAGTCAGTAGTCCGGGGTTCAAATCTTGTCCATTACCATAGTAAAATATTTTCTAACTGCTGTTAAGCTAAATATAACACATACATCTGAGCTGATCGTGTAAGGAATGGTATGTTTGGGTCCGTCCGTAGCATAACGGGCTTGTATTCAATAATCCTGGGTTCAAATCCAGGCAATCACCAAAATTAAATATTTTCAGACTGCCGTTGGAAGAAATGTAAACATACATTGACCTTGCACTTGGCAAGGATCCTCACCTGATAATGTAAATATTTTGAAAGTGGTGAAGGCCATGGCCTTGAGCTCAAGGCTATGGCCTTGGCCTACTAATGTAAAACTTTTAAAACTTACAAAAGTGGGTCAAGGCCATGGCCTTGAGTTCAAGGCCATGACCTACTTGTGAAAAACGTTTAAAAATGAAAAAGTAGGTCAAGGGCATTACCTTGAGCTCAAAGTCATTTCATGCTCATTAAACTAGAACAACTAGCACTAGAACTAAAACACCTAGCTATAGAACTAGAACAACTAGCTATAGAACTAGAACAACTAGCTCTAGAACCATAACAACTAGCTCTAGAACCATAACAACTAGCTCCAGAACTAGAACAACTAGCTCTAGAACCATAACAACTAGCTCTAGAACCATAACAACTAGCTCTAGAACTAGAACAACTAGCTCCAGAACTAGAACAACTAGCTCTGGAACTAGAACAACTAGCTATAGAACTAGAACAACTAGCTCTAGAACCATAACAACTAGCACTAGAACTAGAACAACTAGCTATAGAACTAGAACAACTAGCTCCAGAACTAGAACAACTAGCTCTGTAACTAGAACAACTAGCTCTAGAACTAGAACAACTAGCTCTAGAACTAGAGCAAGTAGCACCCTGATTGTAATCCCATGCATGTGCGTTCACGATTGAAATGCTTTCAAATAAATATACTCCTAATAAAACGCTCGAGATTCCTCTTTATATATGTTGTTAATTATTTAAAGGCTATCAACAATACTTTTCTGAAAAATAATATAAGAAATTGTAACATACACTGTTAAGAAGCTTGCAGTATATCATTGGTAGTTTGAGTCGTTATTGTCTGGCGGTGTTGACATTAATACTGACCTTGACCAAGACCTCGTCCAATGCCATGGCCAATTTCTGACAACGGGCCGCAGTCGTACACATAAAACGCGAGACCACATGCTCATGCATATGGGATTGAACTTACAATAAACGATTAGTATAAAATACAACAAATCTGTCTAAAAACACGTGGAATATCAGTATAAAACACTGTAACCGTCAGTTACGATGGTTTGTCTCGGAAGTCCCCTGACGCGAATCGGTGTGCATCATGCTCCTTCTGCCTCCTCCGGCCCCTCTTCTCCTCTTCTGCGGCATTCCTCTACCAGGCGTAAGAGAGGTTCTTACACTACATCAAGGCAAAGATTTGTCAGATCATTAACTATGAGGAAACATATGACATATGACATTATTAAGTACTTGATATTATAACTGGAATGATTTTCAAATTAATCAAACATGTAAGCTTAAGAGCAACGTTTACGAAACGTGAAAATTTATGTGATTTATGATTGGCGAAATATGACGTCCAATAAAATAAAAAAGTGCATTTTTAGGCTTGCATAGCTGAGGCAATTCTCGTATGTCCTTCTAACGTTACAGTAACCAGCATAGAAAAATGTGGATAACTAAATTTACCATTTCAAAGTCTTCGGTATTAATAGAATTAAACAAAACTCGATATCTCGATATATATTAATATATTAATATATAATCAATGATACGTCAATTATATCAAATTTCAGGGAATTTTGTGATACGAAAACTAGTAAATAAACAATTACCTTTGTTCTAAGCAGTTCCTTTAATCGGAGAGTGGTGGCCCGTCTGTGATTCTCCATAGAAATGTCGAAATCAAATCTAATGTATAAAATCATTATTGATTTATATTAATATATAATCAATTATATCAATATTTTAATTATCACTAATTTATATATATATAATATTATATATATATAGGTAGGGAAGCTGCTTGCTACCCGTGATCGTATTAGTGGTTACACGTGAGTGTATATATAACACCCTTTGCTAACGTCTATCGGAATCATATTATAAAGAACACAACAACACTGGTATATGTATTCAGTGATTCTCTTTATATGTACCATGTATAATTCCATAACAAGGTATGCGCGTACACTAGGTTTACGCGAGACACGTCATAACTTACTAGGCTAATGCCGGATCGTCCGTTAGTAAGCAAATGTGAAATATCTCCGTATCTTACTCTGTCTATCTCTGTCTGTATCTTTGACTGTTAATTTTTCTCTCTCCAAAGCAGAGATTATATACCCAAACTGGGGACCCGCCTATCTATTGTTTATCGGCAGCCTGCTACAAGCTACCGCATGTAATTGGTTGCTTCACTACTCGCTAGCCCGGGGTCACGTCTTACACAGCTGGGCCTGTACTATACCCCAAACTAGAAGAATAGCTTAACAGTGCGTATTTATTATTATGTATTTCTGCGGTATTACACTATCCCCCTCCCCGTTAGAAAAAGCTGAGCTTACGAGGTGACCGGTCGCCGGCTACTCCGAGACGCTGTCCTATCGCGTCGCATTGCCGCGCTCGACGCCGAGCTGTCGCCGGATGACACGCTGGCTCGCAGCCTCTGCATGATCTCTGTGCGCAGCCGCGACTGTTGCACGTACGTTGGAGTGTCCGGCACGGAGAGCGAGACGTCGCTGCTGTCGTCTTTTCCGCATAGCCGCGATAAGATTCTGTGTCCCTCTTATTCATGCCGAAACAGGATGAGATTTGACAGCTGTTTTCCTGGACCTGTTTTGGACCTGTTAATTTCTCAGTGAACAGCTTTGCAAGATGATGCATGCGTATCTTGATGTAGCATGCTGCTATGCACTTGATGAGGATGAAGACGTGATTGTGTTCTGGTGAACATTCAAACATGTGATCAGCCAACTGCGCAAACAGGTAATGAGATCCCAAATCATGCAGAACAGCTGTTGCAAGGGCAGATGCAAGTCCTGGTGATTGTGGTAGTGCACCGTTCGTAGAGTGAAGCAGTCTTTGGAGGCAGCGCTCTGCAGAATTGCAAACTTTTACCACAACATGTGCTGGTTTCACTAGACCGCCACGATTTTTTTTCATCAGACCTCCCCCAGCTTCCATACCAGTCGAGGTTAACACTGCCTGACATTCGGGGCAGGGAGTGCGTCGTATGTTCATGGTAACTACATAACCTGCTATGTAGCCAATGGCAGCATCCTTTACTGGAGAGAGAGGTAAAAAGTTAGGAGCATCTAGGTAGTCATGCTCTTCTGTAGATGGTTCTCTTTCGTCCAAGTCATACCGGCGAACAAGAAGCATGTCTCTCTCCGATGTGGAGAGGTCATCTTGATGATGCTTTGACTGTTGGGCACTTGATACATGCAGAATGGGCGTGTTATCTTGGGCGATGCAGTTGCCCCTTGGCCTTCAATTTGATGCCGTACCAACAGTCTCTTGTATGTGGCTCGAAACTGTCGTGCTGTTGGATTGTTGTTAGTTCCACTAGCAGACCGAACTGCGCAAAAGAAGAGCTCAATTACACGAGGAACACAGGCTGGTTCGCCACACAAAACATAATAAAATTACAATACACCTGTAGCCTGTACAGTGTAGGCCTACTGCGCTAACGTTATCATCGGTTATGAAATCAGAAATTGTCAATTTCTGAATTATTGTTCCAAACTATTAAACATATAAAATGCATAGACATAGCGTTCATTCAACTACAAATAGGCCTACTGTAGTTAGATTACACAATCTGCTGTATGTCAATATGCTTCGCTGGCACGAGCGTCCACAAACAAGTTGGTCATAGGTTACGTATAATAATGCTGTTTTTATCATAAATTTGCCCATTTTAATGCTAACTTA